CCACATCCTGGTCTCCATCCTCTTTGACCTGCATTTCTGCAACAGCCTCCTGGATGAATTCCAGCTCCGCTCCTTCATTCCTCCAATGCCAGGACCTCCGGGAGCTTCCAAATACACAGATTGAATCACTCGCCTGCTTACAAACAGCCACCGGTTTCCTTGTACACCTATAATGACCTCCAAACTCCTTACCTGGGCTAAGTGCAGTGGCTTATGCCTGTAATGCCAGAACTTTGGGAGGCCAAGGTGGGTGGATTGCTTGAGGCCAGGAGTTCAAGACTAGCCTGGCCAACATAGTGAAACCCCATCTCTAATAAAAATACAAAAAAATTGGCCGGGAGCAGTGGCTCACACCTGTAATCCCAGCACTTTCGGAGGCCGAGGCGGGCAGATCACCTGAAGTCAGGAGTTCAAGACCAGCCTGTCCAACATGGTGAAACCTGGTCTCTCCAAAAAATTCAAAAATTAACCGGACCTGATGGCGGGTGCCTGTAATAAAAACTGAAAACAAAAGAAAACTCTTTATGTGGCCTGGTAGGGAGGGCTCTATGTAACCTGGACCCCAGCTGCATGGATTTTTATTCTATTCTGTAAATGCTGCAAGCTTGTTCCTACACTCCAGCGTTTGCATGCGTCGTTCCCTCTGCCTGGGTCGCTTCTGACCTGGCTGGTTCCTTCTCATCATTTGGTTCTCAACTCATGATGCTCCTTCCTCAGAGGGGCCTCTCCCAGACCCCCTGACTCCCACACCCACTCACACCATCCCCTTTCCCTCGTTACACTAAGGAATACGAGATACCGTTTTATTTACAGGTTTACACCGCCATTCCCCAACCCCACGCCCCATACTCGCACTACACATGTGCCCTGGGAAAACGGACTGCTCTATCTCCAGGGCCTAGAAGAGTGTGAATATCGGTGGGTCTGCAGGAAGTCATGGAGTGAGTGAATGGATGATGAGTAACGGAACAAAGCCTCTTGTAGCCGATCCAGGTCACATCTAAAGTCATCGTTCACTAAAAGCCCTCTGCTATCCGGCCACATTGCCTGGACCTGGCATCGGGTGGTTGGTTAGAACAGCTAGGGGAAGGCCCTGCAGAGGGCATGCTGCCCAGCAGCAGTGGTGGAGGCGGCGGCAGTGGTGGGCGTTCAGGCATGTTGTGTACCCTGTATACTGGGGTCAACTGCAGGGCAGCTTCAGAGAGCGAGGCCTGCCTAGCTGCCCCATGAGAGCTCAGGTCTGGCGCCTGCCTCAAGCCAAGATGTCAGGGACAGGCCACTGCCCAGTCACTTGGAGTGAGAAGTGTTGGTCCCATCTGTCCTTCTGCCCTGGGTCTGCTGGTCTGTACAAGCTGGGAGGGCCAGGGAGGATAGGTGAGGGGCCCAGGCAAGGGTGGTCTTCTGTAGTCTCAGGAACAGGGCTGAACTAAAGGTGTGGTTGGTGTAGACCCAAGCAGGGGCCTGACCTTCTGGGGAGGGCTCGTCAGTCCCACCTTAAAGGAAGGTTCCATGGTCAGTGGGCTGAGGGTAGAGGAATCTGTTCCTCCAGAGGCTCAGGAGAGCTAGGAGGGACTGTGAGTTGTGATCCATTTTCCCTTGCCCTGCCAAGAAAGTGGGATGTGTTTTCCGGGGTGGGGTGGGGTGGGGTGGGGGTGGCCCGCCCAAGGCAGGCTATGGGGAGTGCCTGCCCCACATTGGGCAGCCTATTTTAGCTACTTCCCTAGAGCTGAGTCACGGTGCTTCTGAAGACCCTTCCCAAAGCCATAATGCCCTGTGGCCTCTCAAACCATGGCTGCCCCCAGGACCGACCCAGGCCTCTGGCAGGACTCCCACCACCTGCTTTCTCTTAAACTCCATGATCCAGCTGCTCACCTCCAAATTGTTCTCTGTTAGAAGCTCAGAGTGATTCAAGATCACTCAAGGCTGGTGAAACCAAGCTCTTGCTGACCCTTAGTCCTGCTACGTGGCCTGTCTAGTCTGAGCTCCAGACACCTAGGCCTCATCCCCAGCGTGGACTGCCAGGCACTGCAGCCCCCTCCTCGCTAGGGCAGTGCCCCCCTCCTCGCTGGGGCAGTGCCCCTCTCCTCGCTGGGGCAGTGCCCCCCTCCTTGCTGGGGCAGTGGGATGGATGCGTGACTCCCTCTACTCTCAGGCCTTAACTCTCTCAGGACCCTTCCTTGCTGGGTATTGAAGATGGCTTTCTACAAGCCACCAAGTCTCATTCCCACCCCTGCAGGAAGCGAGACCATGGCAGCAGACAGTACTGGGTAGACCTGTCCCTGTCTTTCTGGGGTGTGGGGTTGAACAAGATCCTGGGGACCCCGGGGCTAGCCCAGGATGGCTGTGATTTCAGCTGAGTTTCCCTGCTGTCCCCTCTGACCTACCTCTATAGTTCTACCTGCAAGGATGTGCTCTGGGGTGTGGCTAATGGGATGCGGGGAGCTGCCCTCCCCTGTGGCCATCATGGCCAGGATATTCGGTCCCTTTTGGGCAGCCACAGTGACCTGCAGCTTCTCTGGCGAGTCCTGGGGAGACGGGTCTGTGGTTTTCCTTTCTTTCCTCTCTAATGAGCGTATAACATCGGGAAACCACAGGACCTGACATCACTCACAGGGTCTGGGGATTCCCGCTGTGGTGTTGAAACCCTTACGCAGCTCTGGAGGCTCATGCCACCGTGTTCCCACCCAGTTCTGACCATCCGCGCCCCCTCCCTGCTTCTCTGTCTTTGTTGTTTACCTGGTGAGCATACCTGCTCAATCTTCACCTGTGTGTTCTCACTCAAGGCTGCTGTTTCTCAACTGGGGCAGTTTTGCCTCCCAGGGCACATTGGGCAATATCTTGAGACAGTTTTGCTTGTTGTGACTGTGGAATGAATGCTACTGGCATCTAGTGGGCAGAGACCAGGGACGCTGCTGAATGATCTACAGTGTACAGGGCAGTCCCACCTCCCAGTGAGAAATTATCTGGCCTGAATATCCACAGTGTGGAATCTGCTCTAGGGTTACACCAGAACCTTCTTGAAGCAGCAGTTGGGACCCCCTTCTCTGCACCCTGCCAGCCAGCAGTGGGGAGGAGCACTCAGTGGCCGGTGGTCACTGACCAGCAATGCTGCCGCCAGAGCTGGAGAAGGGCCTGGAGTGGGGGTGGAGAGAGCTCTGGACTCAAAGACCCAGTTTCTAGCCCAGCTGTCTTCCTTTGGGCTAAAAACTTGGATAAATCACTTTCCTTCAATAAACCCGTTTCCTCATCCATAAAGTGAAAGCGCGGCACTGAATATCCCCTCCAGTTATTTGAGATTCCTGGATGCTGTGCATAGAGCCAGGAGTCGGGGTGCAGGCAGGTGGAAGACAAGGTCTTCTCCGTTCCTGACTGGTGCCTGTGCTAGTGGCAGTAGAAGCCTAAAGGATTTGCCAGGAACGTTTTCCAACATCGTTTGAAGCCTGGCCTTTTTTCCTTCGATGCCCAACGTGACTGAGGCAGACTCTACCTTCTCTTTCTTTTTCTTTTCTTTTCCTTTCTTCTCTTTTCTTCTCCCTCCCTCCCTCCCTCCTTTCCTTCCTGTTTCCTTCAGAGTTTTGCCTAGGAGCCCATGGCTGGCCAGGAGGGTCATATATGATATTCAGGGCTCAGCAAACTACAGTCCACGGCCCAAACCCAGCCTGCATTTGCTTTTGCAAATAAAGATGAGGCTTTTTGGTGGTTTTTTCTTTTACTGGTTTATTACAAAGGATACAACTCAGGAACAGCCACGGAAGAGCTGCATGAGGATGCATGGGGTCAGGTGGTGGGGTGGGGAACAGGGCGCACGTCACCTTCCCGGCACCTTGATCTGCTCACCAACCCAGAAGTTCTCTGTAAATAAAATGTTTTTGGAATGCAGCCATGCCTACTTGTTTACATGTTGCTACGGCTCCTTTCTTTTTTTAATTTTGTGTAGAGATGGGGTCTCACTGTGTTGCCCAGGCTGGTCTGGAACTCCTGGGCTCAACTGATCCTCCTGCCATAGCCTCCCAAAGTGCTGGGATTATAGTTGTGGCCCACTGTGCCTGGCCAACGGCTACTTTTATACTAAGAAGACAGAGTTGAGTAGCTGTGACCAAAACCCTATCAGCCAGAAGGCCGAGAATATTTACTCTCTGGCCCTTTGCAAAAAGTGTTTGCTGACCCTTGGTCTAGCGGTTCAATGTCTAATTGTTTAGAGGCTGAGGTAGAGCAGGAGGGTGGGGCCCAGAGACAATCCAGGTTAGAGTTAGGGGAAGGTCACTTTCCTAAGGGTGGGGAGGAGAGAGAGCTGGCCTATGACCAAGAGTAGAGCATCATCTCAAGGCATTCCTCACGTCCTCGCCCACGTTACTGTGTGGCAAGTCTGCCAGGTGCCTGGCTCTCCCTCCCTGCCTGAGAGAACTTTGTGTTTGCTGGAATGATAAGCAGTATGGCCTGGGCATTGGGAGGGGGGACATTGCTGGTAGGGGAAGCCGTGAGGCTGGGCAGCAGAGGCTTGAGAGAACAGGGAAGCGGATGAGGACGCAGAGAGGTCAGGCTGGGAGCCCTGGAGCCAGGCTGTGGGCAGAAGGGGAGGACAGGAGGGAGGTGCTGGACTTCCAGTGGGTGCTTGGAGGCCAACCGTGTGGCACACCCTGCTAGACCGGACTTGGTGGCAAACAGATCCGTTAAAACCCTCTGGATGGACCGGGCGCAGTGGCTCACGCTGATCCCACGTGCTGATCCCAGCACTTTGGGAGGCCAAGGCAGGTGGATCACCTGAGGTCAGGAGCTTGAGACCAGCCTGACCAACATGGTGAAACTCCATCTCTACTAAAATTACAAAAAACAATTAGCTGGACGTGGTGGTGGTGGGCACCTGTAAATCCCAGCTACTCGGGAGGCTGAGGCAAGAGAATCGCTAGAACCCGGGAGGCAGAAGTTGCAGTGAGCCGAGATCGCGCCATTACACTAGAGCCTAGGGGACAGGGCGAGACTCCGTCTCAAAAAAAAGAAAAGAAAAAAAAAAACACCACCCTGGAAGCTTGTACTGCAGTGGGAAGATGAGAGTCCAGCCAGCAGGGGTAGAAGGATGTAGCCGGTGTCTGCTGGGAGAGGGGACGGCTCCCAAAGTGCCGTGGGGGGGCAGGTGGTGGCTAAAGGTTTCCTGGGAACAGTGATGTGTCCCAGCTGAGCCCTGAAGGATGCTGGGTGTGGCAGGGGTTGCATCAGGGAACTGTTTGTATCCACTCCAGCTCAGGGGATAGAGCAGGGTACAAAAGTAGGGGACACTGAGGAGCGAGGTGGGGACTGGTCATTGGATCAAGGGGTGTGCACTGGGTAGGGCGTCATGTGGATGGGTTTTGTTTGAGCCGAGAGGTGAAGGATGGACAGGAGGGAGACAAACAGGGAGACCTGTTAGGCTGATGTCAGGGGCCAGGTGGGGTGTGGTGGGCTCGTGTGGTGCAGTGGCAGGCATGCGGAGGAAGCACCCGCCGTCTGAGTTTTGCAGTGGAAAGAGTGGCTCTGGACTGGGGGTGCCTCTCAGAACTGGGCTGCTGGCTGGACTGGGAGAGAGGCAGGTACCTGGTGTCCAAGCAACACCTCTCACCCACCATACTTTGTTACATCCCAGCACTCATCTCTCCCCGTCCTGCCTAGCTCTGCTGGGCTTAGTATTTGGGGCAAGTCCCTCTAGGGGAGAGAGGGGCTGGTTTGGCCCCAGTGCTGAACTTCAACTTGGCCCTTGCCAGGAGCTGTGAGAGTGGTGCCTCCGGGCTCCTGGGCTCTACCTCTGCTGTGTTTTTGGATTTCTGGTGCATCACCTAGGAATCAGTCTGCAGATCCTGGGGGCCCCAAGTCATTTAGGGTCCAGTCCCTGCCTCCCACTCCCCTAATGATGAAAGAAACTGGAAGTTCCCCAATCTTGATCTCCCCGAGACACCAGAAGGTGGACCCTCAGCAAAGAGCCTGGGGCCCCACAGTGGGGATGTCACAGGCAGGATCCTCATCTATGGGATCCCAAGAGAAGGCTGAAAGGCTGGGGAGCTGGTTCTGTGGGTCCCAGCAGCCCCACCCCAATTCTGATTCAGAAGGAGGACCGTGCCACCCACGCATGTGGAGGTCTCTCTGTGGTCAGCCTGTGTCCCTGGGCCCATCCTGTCTGTTCCCTTCTCTCTCTGAGGACCAGGACTCAGGGTGGGGTGTCCACTAACTCCACAGGGGTCGAGGTTAGACAGCAGGAGGAACTTACAGCCCATCTCCAGGCTGACTGTTCCTAGGAGCCACTTCATAGACTCCATCTCTTCCCTGGCCTGCTGCCCGGAATTGCTGGATTTACCTTCGCGTCCTTAAACGTGGTCATGTTTGCTCTGGCAGCGTCCTGGCTTGCAGGGCAGGGGAGGCATTGTCTTTTACAAGAAAGGTTCTCTCTCTCTCAAGTTTCAGGGAAAGTGTGTCTGAGGCTACTGGAACTCTCACCAGATTTGCAAAATCACTCCTGTTCTCTGAATGCCTGCGGATGAAGAAACAGGCAGGGCTATACCATTTGATTGCTGGCTTATTTCACAGCATTTCACTTTGGTACGAGCACTGGGGTTTAAATGACAGTCCCCTGGCAAATAGGCTTTTGTGCTGTGTAACCAGCCCCACATTAATCCTTTGCCTCCCGTTCTCTGCTTGCAGCCTTATGATCTCTTCATTGCGTCCCCCTCTGCCCACTAGACTTGGACTTCAGATCTGACCCCGGACCTGCTGGCTACCTCGGGAGGGCCCACCTCCCCACCCGTCCAGCAAGATGCCGATCCTCAAGCAACTGGTGTCCAGCTCGGTGCACTCCAAGCGCCGTTCCCGAGTGGACCTCACGGCCGAAATGATCAGCGCCCCACTGGGCGACTTCCGCCACACCATGCACGTTGGCCGGGCCGGAGATGCCTTTGGGGACACCTCCTTCCTCAACAGCAAGGCTGGCGAGCCCGACGGCGAGTCCTTGGATGAACAGGCCTCCTCTTCATCTTCCAAACGCAGTCTCCTGTCCAGGAAGTTCCGGGGCAGCAAGCGGTCACAGTCGGTGACCAGGGGGGAGCGGGAGCAGCGTGACATGCTGGGATCCCTGCGGGACTCGGCCCTCTTTGTCAAGAATGCCATGTCCCTGCCCCAGCTCAATGAGAAGGAGGCCGCGGAGAAGGGTACCAGTAAGCTGCCCAAGAGTCTGTCATCCAGCCCCGTGAAGAAGGCCAATGGCGGGGAGGGTGGCGACGAGGAGGCGGGCATGGAGGAGGCCGTGCCCCGTCGGAATGGGGCCGCGGGTCCCCATTCCCCTGACCCCCTCCTCGACGAGCAGGCCTTTGGGGATCTGGCAGATCTGCCTGTCGTGCCCAAGGCCACCTATGGGCTGAAGCATGCGGAGTCCATCATGTCCTTCCACATCGACCTGGGGCCCTCCATGCTGGGTGACGTCCTCAGCATCATGGACAAGGAGGAGTGGGACCCCGAGGAGGAGGAGGGTGGTTACCATGGCGATGAGGGCGCCACTGGCACCATCACCCAGGCTCCCCCGTACGCTGTGGCGGCCCCTCCCCTGGCGAGGCAGGAAGGCAAGGCCGGCCCAGACTTGCCCTCCCTCCCCTCCCATGCTCTGGAGGACGAGGGGTGGGCAGCAGCGGCCCCCAGCCCCGGCTCGGCCCGCAGCATGGGCAGCCACACCACACGAGACAGCAGCTCCCTCTCCAGCTGCACCTCGGGCGTCCTGGAGGAGCGCAGCCCTGCCTTCCGGGGGCCGGACAGGGCCCGGGCTGCTGTCTCGAGACAGCCGGACAAGGAGTTCTCCTTCATGGACGAGGAGGAGGAGGATGAGATCCGCGTGTGAGGCAGACAGTGGGTGGCCACCCGGAGCTCTTGTCTGCATCTTCTCCCTGCCCCCACCCTACTATGACCTTTGACCTTGTGGCACAGGGGCAGCCAGGACCCTTGCTTCAAACCACGGACCCTGGACCTTGTAGATGAGGGACACTGGCCTGGCCCTCGGGCATTTGGAGGACGTGGGGGGCTGGCATGGGTGCCGACTGGCTGCCTGACTTCATCATGCTCCCTGCACTCAGGCTGCGTGGGACAAGGGCTGTGTTCTCACAGCAGGAATTGGTTTTCCTCTCTTGGCCTCCCTTTCCTCCACCGTGGCCTCAAATGGATGCCAGATGCCAACCCGAGTTCCTGCCACGTGCAGCCAGCGGGTCAGCCCGGAGGCAGCCTCAGCTCCAGGGCTAAGGACACTCGACTCCCCTTTTCTCTGCTGGTGTTTCTGCTGTGCCCAGTGGTGGCTGCTGGGGAAGCAGCTGCAGCAGGACGGAGATGGTCTTGCCTCTCAGCCCCTCCCTGCTCCACCCCAGCTCCTGCCCTGGAAATCTGGAGCCCCTTGGAGCTGAGCTGGACCAGGGGACCAGCCACGAGCACGTGCACTAAACGCAGCCCTTTCCAGGGGAAGAGAGCAGGATGGGAAATGGAAGGGAAGCCCCCACACTTCGTGAATTGCAAGAAGGGACCCTTCCAGGATGACACTAGGAACAGGGCTAGGGCACTCACTCAGTCCCTAGGGGCTTGTGTGTTCTTTATTATTATGTATAAATCCTTATAGAGCAATATCAGGATGGTGTTAATAGGTCTGCCTCAGAAGGAGAATCAATCCTTTTAGAAAACCTTTATACTAAACCTCTTCGAAATTCACAGCGGCGATTAGCAGACTGGGGTCTGGGGACAGCCGTGGCAAAGACACCAGCTCAACTTTAGTGCTTCCCAACGTTATTTAGAACGACACGGGGTGGGTGTCTGGTGTGTGTTTTCCCTACCCACCCCCCATAGCTATCAACATCTGAGGAAGGCCAGTGTAGAACATTTTTGGAGAATTATTATTTTTAAAATAATATATCATTCCTATGGGGGGAAGCTTTTTTTTGACTGAGTTATTCTCTCCCTCCCCTCAACACCCTCAGTACTGACTACTTCCTCTTCCTTTCTCAGGCCTCCCCGCAACGACTTTTGAGGCCAGGGTTGCCAGATTTAGCAAAACCAAAACAGAGTGCTGAGTTAAATGCAAATTTCAGGTAAACAAAAGATAATGTTCTAGCATTAATATGTTCCACGCAATATTTGGAACACTTACGCGAAAAATGATTTGTTTTTCTGAAATTCAAGTTTCTCTCTGAGTCCTGTAACTCTCCCCAAGGGAATTGAGCAGAAGCTCGGGTGTCAGCCCCGAGGTTGACCGTCAGTTATTTGTCTGTCCTGGGAACAGCCTGACCCACCTCCCTGTTTCCATGTAGCCGGTGTGGGGACGGGGAGAGACAGAACCAACCACAACCAGGGGCGTCCCCACGGCGACTCTGGCCTGGCCTCTCCTCTCTTGCCTGACTCAAGACACTAACTTAGTTCCTGGTTCGGTGCCCTGTTGGTGCTCCTGTTTCTAATAGCTTAGGTCCCACAGTAGGGGAGGAACCACGGGGTCTGTGGAGCCCCCGCCAGCTGCCCTCGAATCCTATCCAGGCCAGTTCCAGATTCTTACTGAATTTTTTCATGATATTGTCAAAACAATGAGGAAACATTAAAAAAAAAAAAAAAAAAAGCCCCAAAGCATGCCTGGTGCCTGGTGTCTGTCTCTGCTTTTCGGGAAGGCTCTTTCAGGAAGGGGGTGGGGTCTGGACCCAGGTCCTGGGGCTGTCCATGGGGGCCTGAGGTGGCTTCTGTCTCTCAGTCTGTGAGGACCCGCCCTTCCTGTGATGCTGTCTGCCTGGGCAGGCCCCTTCAGAGTTTGGGGACTCAGGTGTCCCCAGCTGCCATCTCTTGGAGGCCCTTGGCACTTGGTCACTTAGCTGTCCTGTGCCTCCGTCTCCTGCTGTGTAAAATGGGTATCCTGCCACTTTTAGAGGGCTGGGGCACAGAAACAGTGACGGGCTTTTTTTTGTGGGGGGATGGGGCGTGGTGGTTTGTTTTTTTTTTTTGGTTATTGGATTTTTGGTGTTTTTGTGATGGAGTCTCGCTCTGTCGCCCAGGCTGGAGTGCAGGGGCGCGATCTCAGCTCTCTGCAACCTCCGCCTCCTAGGTGCAAGCGATTCTCCTGCCTCAGGCTCCCAAGTAGCTAGGATTACAATTGTGTGCCACTATGCCCAGCTAATTTTTGTATTTTTAGTAGAGACAGGGTTTCACCGTGTTTGCCAGGTTGGCCTCAAACTCCTGACCTCAAGTGATCCGCCCGCCTTGGCTTCCCAAAATGCTGGAATTACAGGCGTGAGCCACCGTGGTGATCAACATGGGCTTTTTATACCATTGTGATTAGGATGAGAGCAACTGTGTTCTCCCCAGCCCCCGGGTGTCCTGGTGCACGGGACTGTCACCACCAGAAAGTGGCTGGCCTGCCTGGGAGCGGGGCTGCCACCGCCTCTTTCCCCTTTTACCATTAAGCCTAGCAAATCAGCTTACAGGTGGCAAGTCCTCAGTTCAACCTCACTTCTCAGGGAAATAGAAGCACCACATCCTCATTTTCCAGATGGAGAAAGGTGACCAGATAAGCCTCGTGGCCGCTTTCTCTAACACCCAGAATTCATTCAGAACTCCTGCCCTTCTCACCCCCACCACTCCTGGGCACATCAAAGCCTTGGGATATGAAGTCAGGGGGTGAGGGTCCAGAGGCCCCTTAACCCACTGCCCTGCCCCTGCCCCTGCCCAACCACCTCCTTCCCTTGAACCATGTTTCCCTCTTTCTGGGCAGCTTCCGAAGGGAGCCCCGGTCTGCGCAGGGCTGCGTCACTGCTTGCTGAAGCCCCCACTTGCTCTCAGGAAATCTGGGGAAATCTTGGGGATCTCAATGTGGCTAAGTTCCTGGTGGAAACCCTGTCCTCTCCCCTGAGCATCCACAGAGAAATGTGAGTTCCCCACTCATCAGCTCCCTGGGAAGCAATTAGAGGCATAATTAAAAGTCAGGTCCCTCCCTCTGTCCCTAGACAGGCTCGTTCGTGTGGGAGTTATGAGCAGGGACTTTTGGCTGCCCCAAGGGAAGAAGAGAGACGGAGGAGAGCTGAGGCCCATTGGGAGACAGGTCCCTAGGGGCTACAGTCTAGCTCAGGGATGACTGGGGAGAGAAGGTACTGTTCAGGCGAGAGGCCCAGGCAGATGAGGAGGGGCTGTGCCTCCCAGACACCGTGCAACCTCCCAAGAGAGAAATTACTGTACCTACACCGACTAACCAGGGACTCTTAAAGGGCCTGGAGAAGCCAGCCACCCCAAGCCCCAGAATCTGTTTCTTGACTGTTGATGGAAAAGCTCTGAGCATTCAAGACGACCCAGGGACCTGGCTTGATTCACAGCTTTAAGGAACATACCTTCTGGCTGGGGTTTCAGTGGACCCAGGAGACAAGGAGGAGATGAGCATGCAGAACCAGCCAAGCCACAGAGCTCAGTCAAGATTTGCTAGGAGCCAGGCGTGGTGGCTCACACCTGTAATCCTAGCACTTTGGGAGGCTGAGGCAGGAGGATCCGTTTAGGCCAAGAATTTGAGATCAACTTGGGTAACAGCGAGACAGCATCTCTACCAAAAAATAATTTTTTTTTTTTCGAGACGGAGTCTCACTCTGTCGCCCAGGCTGGAGTGCAGTGGCATGATCTCAGCTCACTGCAACCTCCGTCTCCCAGGTTCAAGCAATTCTCCTGCCTCAGCCTCCCAAGTAGCTGGAATTATAGGCGCCCACCACCAGGCCCAGCTAATTTTTTGTATTTTTAGTAGAGACGGGGTTTCACCATCTTGGCCAGGCTGGTCTTGAACGCCTGACCTCATGATCCACCCGCCTCAGCCTCCCAAAGTGCTGGGATTACAGCCGTGAGCCACTGCACCCAGCCAATAAATAAATTTTTTATGAAAGATTTGCTGGGCAGCCTTGGGCCAGTTATTTTCTCGCTCCAATTGGCTTCAGTTTCTCCATCTTTAAAATTAGGCAGTAGCTCAGTTGTTTTCAGCTTTTTACCAGAAGCTTTGTTTGCAATGAGGTCATGCTATTTTAATTGATTTTTTTGTTTGTTTGTTTGAGAATGGAATCTTGCTCTGTCACCCAGGCTGGAGTGCAGTGGTGCGATCTTGGCTCACTGCAGCCTCCACCTCCCGGGTTCAAGCGATTCTCCTGCCTCAGCCTCCTGGGTAGCTGGGATTACAGGTGCATACCACCACACCCAGCTAATTTTTTTTTTTTTTTTTGTAATTTTAGTAGATACGGGGTTTCATCATGTTGGCCAGGCTGATCTCGAACTCTTGACCAGGTAGTCTACCCGCCTTGGCCTCCCAAAGTGCTGGGATTACAGGCGTAAGCCACCACGCCTGGCCTTTTATAATTGATTGATTATTCATTTATATATTTATTTATGAGATGAAGTCTTATGTTGCCCAGACTGGTCTCAAAATCCTAGCTTCAAGAAATCCTCCCACCTTGGCCTACTCCCAAAGCTCTGGGATTACTGACATGAGCCACCACACCTGGCCTCAAATGAGGTCATACTTTGAACCTCTGTGGGGGCTGAGCCCGAGCTTCCCTGGGTGGGGTTGGATCTGGGGGGGTCCTTACTCTTTCCCCGTTGGTCTCTGAGGTTCACCTGAGAAACCCAGGGCCCTGCAGCGCACTTCTTGCCTTAAAGATGTTCTGTGAGCCCTTCTTTCTAAAGAAGGAAACAGGAACTACTTCTGGGTAGTAATTTGGTCATTTAAATGCAGATCTCAGCCACCATTTTCCAAAATGGGATGGGACCCAAAGCCTTCTGGCCCGATGGTGTCCTGGCACCAGCCCCACCACCTGCCCCAGCGGGTCCAGAGCATCTCCCTCCACGTCCCCCACATGGATAGGGCTGTGCGCCTGTTTATTGGACACATGCCACTCTGCACCGCTGTGATAAGGGCCATACGTCTTAGCAGCTATGACCGCCATATGCTAGGCATTGTTCTTTGCATTGGCCTCAGTTCATTCTCATAGCAACTCCGTGAGGTCCATGCAATTCATATCACCCCCATTTTACAGGGGAAGCAGCTAAAGGTGAAAGAACCGGCTTACCCCACAGGTCTAGGAAATGGAGGAGCTGGTCGGGGAATGACAAGGTGGCGATGGTGGCCTGGCTGGGCCAAGCAACACAGAGGCCCAGCTATCAGCCTCGCACAGTGGGCTGTGCCCATCTCCCATGGGGCTGTGTGCCCAAGGGAAGTGTCAGGGGAGGCACTGGCTGCTCCAGGCCCCTTCAGCAGCAGCTGCTGGTTCCCAGAGGTCAGCCCTGCCCACCAGGCAGCCAAGGCCCTTCCCTTCCCAGGGTTGCTCTGCCCGGCCTCTGGCTCTGCTGGGCAGGACCAGGGCTCTGGGTTGGATCCCTTGCCTCTCAAGCCTGCAGCCTCGGGCCTGTGCTCCTGCCGGCATCCAGGCTACTCTTGCGTGATGTCCACCTTTGACCCCAGAGTTACACATGCCCAGCCACCCCCTTCTCTCTCCACCAAGGTGGCACCACATTCCCAGAAGAAAGTAGACCAAAGGAGTCTCAGGATCCTCAAAGTTTAGGATCTGGTTTCCTCTCCCTGCTCATTTTATTTTACTTTATTTATTTTATTTTTTTTAGATGGAGTCTTGCTCTGTCACCCAGGCTGGAATGCAGTGGCATGATCGGGGCCCACTGCAACCTCTCCCTTTCAGGTTCAAGCGATTCTCCTGCCTCAGCCTCCCGAGTAGGTGGGACTACAGGTGCCTGCCACCACACCCGGCTAATTTTTGTATTTTTAGTAGATACGCGTTTTCACCATGTTAGCCAGACTTGTCTCGAACTCCCGACCTCAAGTGATCCGCCCGCCTCGGCCTCCCAAAGTGCTGAGATTACAGGCATGAGCCACTGCGCCTGGCCCCTGCTCATTTTAGAGATAGGAAGGCATGCTGGGAGGACAAGAGATTGGCCAGAGTCCCACGAGTAGAGCAGAGCAGGTGGAATTCTCCGGGCTGGCCTGGGTGCTGTGGCCTGGGAGGTGAGGGACAGGTTGAGGGGTGGCGTAAGCAGCAGACTGCATGCAGAGCTGGGCGTGGTATAGCTGCAGGGGTGGCTGAAAGATCCCTGAAGTCAGGGTGAGATGGAGGGGTGGGCCTTTCCAGGTGTGTGTGGCACTCCCCACCCCTGCCTGACTCCCCTTGACCCTCCTATGACAGACTCCCCGAGGCCCCCACTCCCTCCACACTGGGGCAGGTGCCCTTCCTGGCCGCCCTTCACCCGCAGCACTTAACATGTGCACAATCTTGCCCTGAGCCCTGAGGGCCCTGATTTAAGATGCCAGAAATAAAAGTTAGGAATGAAAATGGGAGAGCTTATCTTTATTCCTCCCCTTTCCGATCTCTTCTAGGCCCCGTGGCTTCCTGCCAACAGACAGATGGGAGACTGGGAAGAATATTTTGGTGGGAGGGGAGGGAGTGGTGCTTGCAGGCAGATGGATGCTGGCTCTGCCTCTAAAACCTGTTGCTCTAACCTACTGAGCTGCTGTTCTCCACAGAGACTCCCAGGAGAGAGAGGAGGAGCCAGGGATAGCTGCCTTCCCTGGCCAGAATCCAACCCTAAATGACACTTGGCATGTTAA